TCCCTTTCTCCTCCTCCTCCTCCTCCATTGTTTAATTCCACGTTGCTCACTCACCCAGCATCTTGGAAGCAACCATAACACTAGTAACAATCAATTTGTGCACATTCATCATGCCATGAAAGTGTTTCAAGCTCTTCCCAAGTCTCACAGAGTTGCAACGCATCCCATTTAGTTGTTGGTCTAGTCTATCCATGAGCTCTGTTTTAAGAGCTCAAGAGCAAGGGTGCCTATTTGACACAAGAAATGAAAAGGTGATGATGATGATGGAGAATATAGAGAGGATGTTTTTGGGGATGAACAGGAAGGAGGGTGGGGGCACCTTACTCCCGCCATTTGATGGCCCCGACTAGTTCATGAAGTGTGGCTATCAGTTGATTAGAGGGGCCACAGATGTTGGGCTGTTCAAGAACATTTGCATGGAGGATGTCAAGAGGTTCAATCTCAATAGGTTGAAGACCGTTTAGACAAACGTTGTTACTGCTTAGTAATTAGTAATGGCAGCTACAACCAAAAAGTACCAATGAGGCTTAGATGATCTTTATGTTGACGAAGATGGCATTATTGTTGATGAGCTTGACATCAGCCCTGAAGATTCCAAGGGTGGAGTCATACTTAAGGAGGTGAGAGGCTTGCTTGACACCTCGTGTCAATGATGGCTACAATGTCAAGGGGAGAGTTGCAACTGTCAATGTTGGGATTTCAACTTGTGGCATGCCAGCATTTTTTCAGTCAAACAAGTCAAAGCTAAATGAACGTTTGTTAAAAATGGATGATTGGTGCCATATGCTATGTCTTAAATACTTAATTTATTTTACACCATCTCATAATATAGAATACCATATGTTCCTTGAAAGATAGTTTGTGACTAAATTTATACATTTATTCTTGAATAATATAATAGTAAACTCATGAACCACATCTCCATTTGATTGTACATGTGCTATTGTTCTTCATCAGAACATTACAGTCTCCTTGTTCTTAAGTTTAGAGTCTAGTTACTAGCTAAATTAAATATAAATATAAAGAACGACTACATATTGTCTCTAATATATTTATTAAAAAAAATTCATCCTCATTAAGTTAGCTTATTAAATACCCAACCACTCATGCCAAAAAATTGATAAGGGAAATTTGAAAATAAAAATTGTCATGCCCAGAAAATAAGGTAAGACCGGCATAGAACATAGGAATAATATTCCATATTCCGAAAGCCTTAACTCAAGAAAACTCAAATTCTAAAATTTACATATGTAATTAATATAAATTAACAACTATACAATACTTTTTAAAAGCTACAAATCATCAATTTTTAGAAATTTTTGACAAAACTTTCGATAAAAATAGAATTTCCAAAATTTTACAACACCAATTTATGATATCAATTTAACAAAAAGGGAGCTCCACTCCTCAACAATAGCTAAACAACACAATATAAAGATCAAGACTCTAACTGTAGTCTATGTAGATCACCTAAAAATCTAAAACATTGTTTATAAAATACAATATTTAAATCATAAATTTTTATCAAAATACAAATTAACCAAAATAGCATCTCTACTTCAACCCAAAAGCAAAATCCCTTCAAGGATCTGACAGAGATATAAGGTTAGCTATGCCATTTGAGACCAAACCAAATATTTTTTAGTGAATAATGTCTCAACTATAACATTTTTACAGAATCACAATGAATAAAATACAATAATTATATAAATTACATGAGAAAGCAATTCAATATATACGAATTTATAAACTTGAAATAAAAGTTCTATGTAACTTCAATAATGAAAATATTTAAATCTATAATGACAAAATAGCTTTAGACGAGTCAAAATAATTAAATAAACAAATAAAAATAACACTATTTACTAAATAAAAAAATCATTATGTATGAAATCAACACTTAATTAAAATTCATATATTTATTTATTTATTTATTTTTGTGGGGGATTTATCAAAACAATTCACAAACGTGGACACACAGTCTACAAGGATAAATAACCAAACGTGGTTTATGCCACAAAAACAAACATGGACACACAGTCTACAAGAGTAAGTAACTAAACGCAGTTGAAGTCATGACACAAATATGGACACACAGCCCACGAGGGTAAAACTAACTAAACGTAGCTCAAGGCCGCAAAACAAATGTGAGTGCGAGATCATGAATAACAAATGTGAAAATAAAACTCACGAAAATCAAATTAGCTAATCATTGACCATAACGCGCCAAGGGCTAACGGAACTGCTATTAACAACCAATGTTCTACATAAAATTCTTTCCAAATCTATTTGCAAACATGCGAGAAAATAATTATTATTAAATAAAATTTTTATTTTCAATGTCGAACTCGCATGAATCATTTTCTATATCAATATAATATTTGATAGAATAAAAAAATAAAAAAAACTTCATAATCAAAGTCCAAACTTGTTTTAATTGATCAAATAATATTTCAAATCTGGTAAAGATAATTTCTCAAAATAAAGTAATTTTAATTAACAAATATCCAATAATCACATTATTACTATTAAAATGATTTGCAGAAAAACGTAATATTTTAGTAAAGGAAATTGTGATTGAAAAAATCAGTTGGAACACTATCCACTTACCTGATATGTTCTTAAATGTAAAATTTACTCCAAATTGGCACTCTTGCGTCAATGCTTTATCTCTAAGTTCCTAATGTCCAGTTAATATCATTGTCATTTTCTTATATGCCTTATCATTCAAAATATTCAGTCCAAAAATGATTAAAAATAAAAGATAAAAGTCTCAACTTCAAACTTTCTCAATCATCACATCAAACACTCCACAAATACCTCAAAGACGAATATATATAAACAACAATTTGGCCTTGAATCACCAAAAAAATATCTTTTTCAAAAATCTCTAATTTCAAATCTTCTATTATAGAAAATAAGTGTCTTCCATATTTATAAATTGCCTAATTTTTTTTTATCGAAACACCAAATGTACATTAATTCCAAATCCCTCCATAAAGCTTTTTAACATTCATATATTTTGCCTAACAATTTCTTAACAAGCATAGCTACATTATCTTTATGATCAAATTTTTATATAATATCAAGCTCAATTCACAAGATAGTAGCATCCAAGCCATTCAATCTCTCAAAATTTTAATGAAATTTTAGAAAATGCACAATCAAGCAACTCCATCTTTCAACCATTTTATCAAATATTTTATAGGCACCATTGTACAAATTTCATGTCCAAGTTATTCTATCCAAATCCCATCCTAACCAATTTTTCAACATCAACCATTCCTAACAAAGATAATTTAACTCAAAATTCTAGCTTATATTTATCATAATTATGTTTTATTATAATTATGTTTTAAGCACATAAATTTCCAGCTTAAGTTCCTCTCTTTCTCTCCCCTCCCCTCCTTCTCCTTGTTTTTTTTAACAGATACGAACAACAGCAAAAATTCAAGGGAAAAAAATTCTAACTTCAACTCTATCACATTTCATATTACACGCACAGATTTTTTTTTTTTTTTAGGAACATAGAAAAAAAATCATGATTTCTCATCTCAATAGAAACAACAGGACAGAGAGACAAAGGGCGAGGAATGTCCGAATTCAAAGCTAAAACAAAAATAGGAAAAAGAGATTATGCATTAGGACTGGAAGGAGAAGAGGAAAAACCTGATGCTCAATCTGTCACAGTAGCTCGATCAGAGGAAGGAGAGGAGAAGTTCACCGTGAAAACAGGGGAGGAAGAATCCCAATGTACGAACACAACATCACCGTTGAAGGAGGAGGATTTCGACATTTTCATCCAGTCACCAGCGACGGACTAAGAGAAACGAAGCTAAAGGAAGAAGAAGATTTGAACAAATTCAACCCACGTACAGAGACGCCAGTCAACGCCGGTGATCACCATGGGAGAAGAATGAAAACTCCTGACCCAAGCTTCTTGCACAGCAGATCATAGCAGTCGCACAACCCACACTGGAGGAATTGGAACGGAGGGAGAGGAACGATGGCTGGTACGGAGCTCTCCTTTCTTTTCTGATATGCTCATCTGGTCCTCATCTGATATGCTCCCCCCACTTATTCTCTCTCTCTTTCTCTCTCTATATATATATATTTCAACAAAGACATTGCAATAATTCACAGGCTGAAGCAAAAGCCAAAAATAATAATAATAATAATAATCATCATCATCATTATCTTGTGCCCCACAAAGATTTAAACTCTGAAGCAACAAGTAAAAACTCAGAATAATTTTCACTAAGTTATCCATTCACTTTATTATAACTACCTCAAAATTTATAAATTACAATCAAAATATATTATTATTAATTAATTTTTTTTAATTTTATTATTTATTATTATTATCATTATTTGTTTTTTATTATCTTATTATTTTTTATTATTATTATTATTATTATTTTGTTATATTTTTTAAGAGTTATTACAAAAAATTAATTTTCAAAAATATTTATTAATCTTAATTGTATTCATTGATTTGTATTGAACAGTTATTATTTTTTTTTTTTGTAAAGAGATATCTGAAGGGGGTATATTTGAGTAACTAGTATACAGTTTTGTTTAGAATACGGTGGTTATAAGGTGTGTTTGTGTGTGTGTGATTACTTGTATGACGTGTGAGGAATCTGTATATAAACGTCAGCACTTTTTTTTTTTTTTAACCAATATATAAACGCCAACACCAGGAACCTTACCACGGAATTATCTTATAGAAATGGATTTTAAGAGAACTCCGTGGGGGGGGAAAACACCGGAGAGAGAGAGCATAAGGGCATTTTAATGGGATTTTGGCGTCAATATGGAATGAATTTATGATAACATCTCAAGCAAGGAGATAATTATTTCATTATAATTCTCATCACATATTCAACCCACAACAACTTCTAACGGATAAATAGAGTACAATAAAGCAAGTAGCACAAATTACTGTGTCCCGATTACTGCATCATGATCACGTTATCAAAAGAAACATATGAATGTATCTACTTGAAGAAATCCATAATCCAAAAGTTTCGAACAAAGCGGTCAAATCTAATGCCTCTAAACCCAGCGGATGTGGCCAATTTCATGAACTCACGCTCTGTTCTCTCCTTGCCACCTTGGCTACAAGTCAACATCACCACATCACTTTGGGCAATCACCTTTCCATCTTTAGGAATGACGTCATGGCAATTCTTCAACAGCTTCAAGCACCATTCATCGCTCCAATCATGAAGTATCCACTACCAAATTTACCCAACAAAGCCACATTTAACCTCTAGTTGTCATTTATTTTATATATATATATATATATATATATATGCGTGTGGATTCTGTGTGGGGAGAAATTATAAATAAACCCCAATTAAAAGATTTATTTATAGGTACAATTGCTCTTGGACTCATCTCATTTGACTAAAGTTGACCAAGTTGATGATTGATAGCTAGCAGCTAACTCAAAAAAATAATACTTAAATTTTTTATTAAAAATATTGATACTTTGATATTTATAAATCAAACATGCAGCATATTTTTTAGTTAAATTTCTTATATTTACAAGTCAAACAATAGGTCACTTATAATCACTTGTAGATCTGATATAAATTTGACTTATAAGTATTAAAATATTAACGTCTTAGTAAAATTGTATTTGACCGGTCAACACTTACCATTAACAAGTCATCAACAATAACAAGAAGCTTTATCTCACAACGTGAGATCGGCTCCTAACAAGTCAATGTTAGCAAAATAAAAAAAACAAGGGGTATATGTGACATTTTAAGCAAAATTTACCCTAACAAATTAAAGCCGCACCTAATATAATTAACCTCTCATTGTGATTAAATATATATTGATAATATAACATGCTAACTACCTTCATGAAGATGGCATCTCCTCTCGGCACACTTTCAAACGTATCTCCTCCTACGTGTTCCACTCCTGCAACATTATTACAATCAATGATTTAATTAATTAATATGATTACTTGGTTTGAAATGTCAAAGTAATTAATTAGGTCATACCAGGATAAGAAGGCGTATGTTGAATGACATGAGGCAAGTCGAAATTGATTCCTTGAATGTTTGGATATTTTGATGTGATCAACTTGAGAGTAATCCCAAGACCTCCACCAACATCAATGAGTCTAGTGATGTCCCCAAAACCTTGGTAGGATCCAAGAATCTTGTTCATAACTATAGTGCTATGATTCATCATTGCTTTGTGAAACATATGGTTGACTCTGGAGTCCAATCTCAGATACTCAAAAACATGTGATCCATGGACCCTATTGAATGAAATACCCCCCTCCAATGTAGCATCTTTCAGTTGGGACCCTAAAAATGTTCATATTGTTAATATAAGATGTTCATATTGTTAATATAAGATTCATCTTTTAAATTCGCATAAAACTCATCCATTCTATTGGATTTCTATAATATCACAATTAATTTTCATGCATTTATATATACATATATATATATAAGATAATTAAAAATAAAATAAAATAAGTCCAAAAAATACAACGTATAATCTTCACTGGTCAGCTATCTTTATATTGAATGACGTAAATTTTGAAATTTTGTCAATTAACAAAGGATTAAGAATATAAATTTTGGAATAAATTTGAACACGAATACTTAATTTGAGTACTGGCGATAAAATGATATTAATGAAGAAGAAAATAAAATATCGCATATAAAATTTCATTCGCATGCAGCATTGCTGTATAACCGTGAACAAACCACCTCGATAAATGTACAGTTCGTCACTTTAGATCAAAGCTATATGGACAAATAAAATTGGAAATGATGTAGTTGTACAATTTTCAAGACGATGAAATAAACTTTTTGTCTATGAATTTGTTTTGATAGTCGATTTGATCCTCCCAAATTGTTTCAATTATTAATATCATACTTATGATTTAAAACGGTGTTAACAATGTTAAAATCAGCTATGTATATTAATTGAAAATATGTGTACTTTTACATAGTATAAAAAGATTATATTGACTTGAAAGCTAATTTAATTTTATTTAGCTTCATATGCATATCAAGTTATTAATATACTTTATATATAAAATTAATTTGAGAGTCAATTTATATTTTAAAATTTGACAAACTAACATTATAAATTAAGAAAATATTTATAACTAAATTGATAAAAATTAAATTTGAATCAGTAAATTAACAACTAAGACAAACTTGAATAACTAAAACGTTTAATTATCCCTATATTTTTTCTTTTTTTCTTTTTGTTATTGTTGTAGAGATTTACTTTTATTGCTTTACATTCTCTTCCGTCCCTAATTATAAGATACTTTCAAACAAAGACTCACATATCATACCAATAAACCTAAAAACACTTAACCATCTTTTTTTTTTCAAAACAAAAATATTAACTTTAAAAAATATCTTTTATTTAATATATTGAAAACAAAATGTAGACGTAAATTGAATAGAGAAAGAGAAAGAGAAGTCTTGAAATAAGCTTATTTAATAAAATTTTAATATTTTCAAAGTACTTTATATTGTGACATCAAATCTATCTCAAAAATGTCTAATGATTTGAGATGGGGGGAGTAATATTTTATCATTGAAAAAAAAAAAATTATAGACGCATAGTTCCATGAAAAAAAAAAAAAAAAATAGCAGTGCCTAAAAACTACTGACAAACCAGCTATCCAGGAAGACCTTATCATGAGCCACTTCAATAAAGGGAACTAACGATGCATCATCCGCATTTCGAACGAAGAATTTGGCCACCGGAGAGAGGCTGTACAACCGCCTGAAACATCCCGACCCTCGATTCTCATCGCCGATAACGGAACAACAAAGAACAGAGTGAGACGCTAGAAGATGGAGGAGTCGACCCAGCGCGGAAGCTGCTCCTGGGTTCTTGCAAGAAAGCTCCAACGCGATCTCGTTGGCGGACATCTCGGCATCAGGACCAGCTCTATGAATGACGTCAAACACGCCGAGCTCCAAAAGTTCTCATTCTTTAGGTAAATTATCACTGATTTAATTTCACATTCCTCCTTAGGTGTCATCCACGTCACACATTTAATTATCAAGTCCTTCCTATTTCTATTATAGGGAAACTTCTAAAAGAATTTTTTAATCCTTAAGATAAGATATATGGAGGGTTATTTATTATCACTTCCAATTTTACCTCTGTTGCAAGTTTAATTTTATAGTTCTTCATACACTGTGCATCTCCCTCTTCTTATTTTTAATAAAGGTAAAGTTGAAAATAAATTTTATTTAATACATATTTAATGAGTTAACTGTCAACTTTTTATTCCAATGAAGTAGTTGAAAACACCTTATAATAAGGACCGAATGGAGTATGTTTTTACTATTTGTTTCTTTCTTATATATGTTACTTTTTTACTAATTCACACAAACTAACGAAATTAGGTAAAATTAATTATATTAAATATGCCACATCTTTAATTTCATAAAATACCCTTAATTAAATGCAACTCTAACGTAATTAATCACTCGACAATATCCATACCAAGGTCTCTACTGTACAAGATATTAATTTTAAATGCTTTCTGGATTTTACAAAATGATTCATAAAGAGGAACAAATTAAAGGAAGTACTCCCTCCGCCCCAAATTATAAGACACTTTTAAATAAAATCTCACATACCAATAAAGTTTATTAAATATACTTTACAATCTTACTTTTTCAAGACAAAAATATAAACTTTTACAAATGCCCTTCATTTAATACTCCATTAATGAAAGAATATTGATGAGAGAGAATATATGGGAAGGGTAATTTTGAAAAAGTATTATTAATGAAACCTTATTTTTATCAAAGTGTCTTATATTTTAGGATACTGAATTTTCTCGAAAAGTGTCTTATAATTTAGGACGGAGGGAGTATCATATATAGGGTCTGATTTTAAAAACTATTTTAAAAAAACCAAAAAAAATAGAAAACATATTTTGATAAGTGTTTCAGATTTAATTGTTTTTAAGCTTGCACTCATTTAAAAAAAACGAAATGGAAACATATTAAAGTTCTTTTCGTTTTAATTTTCTTGTTCTCAAAACTCATTTTGATTATTAGAAAATATAAATAGTTTGATCAATTTCTATTAATTATAATTAAACCACTACCATTAACTGTATGTAACCAATACTATCAACCTATTTTTTAATTCTAAAACTATTTTTGAATTAACATAACCAAACATATTTTCATGTTCTTTTGTTTTAAAAAGAAATTCAAAAAATTATATGTTATGAGTCCGACGACAGGAGGCCACAATGGTGGATTGTGGTTTATAAGTCAGTTAGGCACCGTCTCCCTATGAGGTGCCTTCTGAGGGTGAGTTTTACTAAAGAGTTTGTGGTTATGACATTGGCGCTCTCGTTGAGAATTGAACCAAAGGCCAAGTGAAGTGTCATGGAGCATGAGTCATCACAGACACGGCCTCTTGAGAGGTGGGCTATGCTATGAGTCCCACATCGAGAGGCCACATTAGTAGAATATGATTTATAAGTTAGCTAAGCACCTTTCTTTTACAAGGCATCTTTTGGGGGTGAGTTCTACATGAAGGGCTTATGGTTGTGACATTGTTGGAGCATTTCGAGAAATGAGTTGGGCACCTAAAAGACTATCTTTGACATTTCAATATCATGACCACAAGCCCTTTAAGTAGAATTGACCCCAAAAAGGTGCCTCATAGGGGAAGAGTGCCCAACTGACTTATAAACCACAATTTACCAGCCTCCCGATATGGGACTCATAACATAGTCCACTTCTCAAGAGGGGGCATCTGTGATCACTCGACCTTCGGTCGGTCAATCCCTCCATAGAAGGCCCTTTCTGCAAACAATGACTCTCAACGAGAGCAACAATGTCACGACTACATGTTCTTTAGATAGAACTCACCATCAAAAGGCACTTCATAAAGGAAGGGTATCCAACTGACTTATAAACCATACTCTACCAATGTAACCTTCTGATGTAGGACCCATAACATCTCTCTACTAACTTTCTTCCTTCTAAAAGTTTTTTTTAGCCTTTTTGGGTGTGATGAACAATGATCAACAAGAACTCCTTATCATCATGCCTCACACTTACTTGATAAGATAGAGACTTGTGCTAATAACATCTATAAAATAAGGCAATAGAAAATTAGAAAGTATTCAATATTATATATGCTAGACAAAATAATATATATGTTATAAATTTAGTTTCCAAGCATTTACATGAGTTGTTAATATTTGAATAATAGCTCGTTAATATTCACACAAGACTTGTCAATATTCAAGAAACAAGTTATTAATTTTTAAAAACCAATTTGTTTGATTTTTTACAAGTTGTTCCCAAAACGTTGACAAGTTAACAATGTTAATTAAACTAAATAAAGTACTATATGTGTCATAAATTTAGTTTCTATGTATTTTCATGAATTGTTGCTAAATTTCAGTATGTTGTTAATATCTGAACAACAACTTGTTAATATTTGAACATGATTTGTCAAAAGTCAGGATGGACTTTTACAAGTGTGTATAAACGATAATTTGTCAATATTGACAAGCCATCCTCTAATATTTATAAGTTATAGTTCTGATATTGACAACAAATTCAGGTAAATGCTTGGAAACTAAATTTATAAGACATACGCACACATATTATTGTATTTAGTATAATATTGATAACATGATATATCCAACTTGAAAATTGAACACCCTCCCCCGGGGGGCCCAAAAAACGCGCACACACAAGTGAATGTAAAGGCTCATGAACTCACGATGTCTCCCTCCCTGGCTTTCACTAGAGAAGGCGACGTCGGTGCTTTCCCTAGAGGGGGCATTTCATAGAGAAATTAATAATGAATTATTTGTCGTGGCCTTCTCAGCTTTCTATGTAAGTCAACAATTTTCCAAGTCAAGAAAAATAACATGTGAAGTGTGTGGTTAATTATCTTTATACTATGAATGTGCACATAATTTTTAAAGTCAACTCACACAACTCCATAGGGAAAAATGGCACAATAATTTTGTGTCTTTGGATTAAGAATAGTTTAGTGTAATATAAAGCTTTTCAAGGAATTCTGTTTATGACATTATGTTAAATTTGGAATAAAAACTAATTTTTTTATTGCTAACTAATGTCATCCTATTGGAAACAATCTTGTTCGAGATATAGTTAGGTATTAAATGTGGGCACCTCTGATAGAGGAATCCAAACCTTACATTAGCAAAAAAAAAAAAAATAGTAACATAAAGCCCACTTTCTAGCATGCATGGAAGGAAAATATACTTGTAGTTCAAATTATTCACAAATTTAAAACACATACTTGATCCTTTCATTAGTACATTGTCCAATCCATGCATGAATAATGTATTTTGAAAAACAAAATAATCAAATGAAAATATATGCTAATAAATTTAAATCCTATAAAACCATGTACACACTTCAATGCAAATATTCCAAGGCTCCATAATATATACATATATATATATATATATATAAACATAATAATTAAATTTAGGAAAGTTCTATTTATCCATTCAAACTAAAAAACAAATCTTCATCATCTTTAACTTATAGGGAACATTATTTACTTACCTAATATATCACCAAGTTTCAAAATTTCTTCTTTTTACAACTGCAATTAAGTTTTCTCTTCTTCTAATGACCCCATCAAACATGATAGAATTTTAATAAATTTGTTACCAAATGAACAAACTCTCTTACTCTAATAGCAGAATCACAATCAACTTAAATAAGTCAAAGTTTATCCTTCATCATCATTTAAGTCTCCAAATTTCTCATATCATTTTTAACTCAACAAATTATATTATTGAAATATAATTCCCTTTTTAAACCTTTTTACGAACACCTACTTTACATAATTTTCAAATAAGTCAATTAAACTCCTTACTTCTTAAATTATTTTCCCTGATAGTTACCAACATAATTATTATACTTCACAACGCCAATTCCCATTAGATGTCAATTTCAATTTAGGAAATTAATTTCCAAGAATTTAAATAACTGCATGTTACTTCCAAAGTCAAACCCCCTTTGAAACTTCCTTTAATATAAGTACCAATATTCAAGTTTTATATCCAAGCTGTTTTCTTTCAATTTCATCCGAACAAATACTTTAACATCAACCAATCTAAATAAGTTTAATTTAACTAAAAAATTATAACCTATAAGTATACTATTATGAAGGTGTTTTATCATACTTTCAGACTATGGTTTCCCCCAATACATACAATGGAGTGTTGTTGACTCCAACACCACATCACATCAATGCTAAGGAGTCTAAATCTCTAATATCATACTTCATTAGGCACTAAGGAGATAATCTCCAACACCACACCTCAAAAGGCACTGAGGATATACAATTCTCCAACTTCACATCTTGTCATACTTCTGCACAGTTACAATAAATAGATAAACAGAGGAAGTTATTTAGTTACCTCAACTCTTCTATGACAAGAAAGGTTACCTGTGGATTCAACAACCACTAATGCATCACTACAAGCCTCTTTCCACACTCTACACATGAATTATGCTAATCTACACACAATTGACATTATTAGTCAATTGGTTCAATTGACCAAAAATACATAATTATCAATTAGGGCTATAATTAGCCATTCATTCCTTTCTAGTTAGCCATTCTAGGTTATTACCACTCAATTACCACTTTATAACACTTCAAACAATCACATTTCACTTTTACTCAACTTTCCGCTCTAATTTTTCTTTAAGTTTAGAGAAAATAGAGCCTACAGCTTCAAAACTCTAATTTAACTCCTGAAAACCTTTTTATTACTATAGGGTAAGAAACAAATCCCTTAAATTTCTCCTATTCAATTTCTCTAAAGGTGAGGGCTGTACGAAGCTTACTTGATAAGTTACTGATTGAAAGTGCCTTCTAATGTCCTAAAAATGCTTGCCTAGCTAACCCTTACTTCTTTTCTTCTCCCTTCACATTTTTCTTTTCTTTCCTTTCTACTCTCACTAGCTAATCCACAATTTTTGAAGTCATTTATGGTACATGCGTTACGATGCAAGAATTTTTAGCCACAACATGTGGCACATTAAGAAAAATTCTCACCGCACGCACACGCTTTACTCCAAGATGCAGTCCTTCCACCCCTAATTAACAGCTAATCGCAAGATTAGAAAATTAGGATATTAGACTTACTAATTCAAGAAAGTGAAATTACTAGGATAGGTAATTGGTTGCTTCCTCTCTTAACTTGTAAGGAGATATTTGATACTTCAAAAGCTTTGATTGCCTTTACTCTTTGGCAATTATGGAAGGCCAAGTGCTATTTTGTGTTTGAGAAAAAACTTATTGATCCTGGAGGATTTATTCAACTTTCTAATGGCTATATGAATATTTTTTGGGTAGCAAATAACTGGTGCGATATTGACTTAAGGGCCTCTAGCATGGATAATATGGCCTAAGAAGCAACTCATGCCAGATCCACCAATATTATAGATACTTTTATTGCTACAATGTTCTTATATTTTGCTTTTTGTGATGGTGCTTTTGATGCACACAATTATGTTTTACCGTAAGTATATGGTTCATAATTAGTAAATGGCAAATCAAGGTCGATCCCACGAAGAATCAAGTTAATTAGTAATTAAGCAATAAAGTCTCAATTTTCATTTAAGTTGAGCAAAGCAAGATATGGATTTGATTTTTGCAAAATAAGGATTGAAATTAGAAAAATACATTAAAATTAAAATTCCAACAACCACAAACAATCAAGGCAACCTAGGGTGGTTAATCCCTTCTTCAATTCATAGAGCATGTAATTATTCAAATAAATTAACTTAATATTAATATGTTAATCTAGAGTATTAATAAGAATAATTATGTTTCAATTAATTACACCCCTCTTTTGAATTAATTTGCTATTTTTAACATAATTACCTAAGAGACAAAATGGCACAAATTCATTCTAATGTGATTATATGGGTCTAATATGTATATTCCTATCCTATTATCAAATTAGGATAAATTCTAATCCCACATTATTAAATCTAATGGTCAAATTCATGTTTTCTCTTTCAAGGCAAAACCCAAGCCCCTAAATTCATACTTAATGATGGCCAAGCATTAAGAGAACAAATAAGCACAAGATTAAGTAAACAAAACTAATATTAAGTTTAAATAAATGGTTCAAACATGCTCTAATCTAAGAATCAATTCATAGCTACCCTAGATTAAGAGAAAATTAGCCATACATGGCTTCCATGACGGCAAAATCAGTAATATATACAGCCAAATAAAGAGAAGAAGGAGAAGAAAAGTTTAATTAAAGCAATCTTGAGCGAAACCCTTGATTTTCCACTAAATCCAAATTTCTCCAAGCCTTCTTTAGCTCTTTTCCCTCTTCCTAGATGTTCTATAGCTGCTAGAGGTGAAGAATAGTCAAAAATGAGGTGCTCAAGCACTAAAAATTTGCTGAGAGTCAAAACTATATGTTTTACTAAAATCACTCTTCACTGCAGCGAACATGACCTATTCAGTTTTTCTTATTAGATTTAATTTCTTTGACTTGGGCTTTAAAATTTTTTTCTTTGGACCCCTAAATTGAGCCTCCCTATATGCACAAAACTCTAAATAAATGATAGAATTGGTCCACTAATTTCTAATATATTTCTAAGCTCATTTTCACACACATTCATCTACTTAATCATATTTTTGCTAACAAAATTTAAATAAATGACTTCCAATTACATTAAAAACACCAATAAATTCAATAAAATATTGAAAGTCATTAGATTTTATTTCTCAAAATAAAGCTAGCTTTGGTTTTATTATGCAAGAGGCCTCTAGATGCTGTGTTCACATGGTTACAAGATCTCTTCATGCTATCTCACCTTTCTATAGTGAAACTGAGGCTCTTTTTTAGTGTGTTCATAGGTGTGCTATTGCTAGCTTGACTAAGGTGCTATTCTTATTTGATTGTCTCCCTTTTTTTAAAGCTGTGGATTGTCTTTCTCTATGCCCTAAATAAGAATGGTTGACCACTGTGGATAGTATTATGAATTATAGGCAAAAACTAAGATCTTGTAGCTTCAAGTGGATCCCATGAAGCTTGAATTGTACTGCTGATTGGATCTTGTAGTAAGGTGTAACAGCACGGAGCCACCCCTTGGGCCTCGACTCGGTACTGGACTCTGGCCCATCACGGGACCAAAGCCGACTTTCCCACAGGTGGTACTGTGGTTATTCCTCACCACTGCCTCTCCAGGGTCTTTTGGAACCTCCCCAGACTCGAACCTCCAACCTCTACCACCTTAACAAAGTTGAGGCTAAGTCTGGTACCATTGGGTCACTTGACTCAATGGTACCAGACTTAGCCTCAACTTTGTTAAGGTGGTAGAGGTTGGAGGTTCGAGTCTGGGGAGGTTCCAAAAGACCCTGGAGAGGCAGTGGTGAGGAATAACCACAGTACCACCTGTGGGAAAGTCGGCTTTGGTCCAGTGATGGGCCAGAGTCCAGTACCGAGTCGAGGCCCAAGGGGTGGCTCCGTGCTGTTACATAAAAGGCGCCTTTTATGTAACAGCACGGAGCCACCCCTTGGGCCTCGACTCGGTACTGGACTCTAGCCCATCACTGGACCAAAGCCGACTTTCCCACAGGTGGTACTGTGGTTATTCCTCACCACTGCCTCTCCAGGGTCTTTTGGAACCTCCCCAGACTCGAACCTCCAACCTCTACCACCTTAACGAAGTTGAGGTGAAGTCTGGTACCATTGAACCAAGTTGACTCAATGGTACCAGACTTAGCCTCAACTTTGTTAAGGTGGTAGAGGTTGGAGGTTCGAGTCTGGGGAGGTTCCAAAAGACCCCCGTGAGGGTGGGGTGAGGAATAACCACTGTACCACCAGGGGGAAAGCCGGCAATCATGTGGTGACATGTGTGTTGTCCAGCGCCTGGGAAAAGACCCTGGAGAGGCAGTGGTGATCCAGGAGGGCTGTTACATAAGGAATGAGGTGTGCTCTTCAAAATGGGTTGCTCAACCCTTACCTTCTTTAGTTTGTCTCCTGGACTTGACTTTCTAGAGTCTAAGATGTTTTCTTTTGATAGCACCTGAGTCTCTTTTAGTCATTTTTTCTTAGTTGTTTTGTGTTTGGAATCTCTTGTTTTGCTTTGTGTTTGATTAATGATATAAATTACTTGTTCTTGGCTAAAAATGTCAACAAATATGAAAGCATCAACTTATCATATTCTTTTTTTTAATAACATAAGGAGTAGATTCTGCTAACACTAAAGATTGTCTCCCCCAAAGTATAAAAGGCAAATAGTAGATCTCTCCTAACTAAATTAGGATATACAAAAGGGTTGGAATTCAAACCCTTAGCACTTATATTAACTTCAGATATGTTCATCTCCTTGTTAAAACATGATGAAAACAAGTAGAAAATTTAGAGCAGTGAATAATCTTCAATCCTCCATTTCAAGTAATTTAATATAGGGTCAATGAGCATTCTGGACTTTGAAGTATTACGCGAAAAATGCCTTAGACCTTGAACTCTTAAAATATACAAAATAGACCCTAAACTTTTGAATTTATAGCAAATTAAAATCTATCATTAACTCTCCATTAACATTGTTACTATTCACTCAGTGGGGTTTAGTCAAAACGTTGATATGGTAGTCCATTGCGGATGTGTCATTTTTAATTAGTACCACAGACCCTAAACTATTGCATAAGTAACACCCTAAACCCTAAACTATAAAATTTAGAGTTAATTATTCTCATCGTTTATGTGTAGAATGTTGACTATTATGTAGACCAAATTAGCCTTAATGTTGTCCACATAGTGGATGCATCGTTAGTAGTGGCGAACAACCCATATTTTTTGTGAAATAACATTTTTTGCTTGTCTTTCTTTCTTTTTTTTTTTGCAATGTTTTTCAAATGATTGGTATCTCATACTTCCATATACTATCTAAATATGACTTAGTCTTATTTTAAATAATGTTTATTTATTTAATGGTGAAAACTTAGAATCCTATTTGAAAAGAAGTTTAAGATTTTAGTTAATCGATTAATTTGGGTTTAAAATCTGTTGATAACATCGTTGACTTTTGCATCCATCATTTGTAAAATCCTCTAATATTTAAACTTCTTTTTAAATAGGATCCTAAGTTTTCACCATTAAATAAATAAATATTATTTAAAATATGACTAAATCAGAGTTATAGAGCATATGAAAGCATGAGATACCAATCATTTAGAAAACGTTGCAAAACAAGGGGCAAAAAATGTCATTTTACAAAATTATGGTTAGCAACCAATGATGCATTCACCATGGTGGATCACGCTGAGACTAATTTAGTTTACATAATAGTTAGTGTTCTACACATAAACAGTGAAGATAATTTGATCTAAATTTAAACTTCAAGGTCTAGAATGCTACTCGCGCAATAGTTTAAGGTCTGTGGTGCTAATTAAAAATAAAACATTAATAAGGGATTGCCACATCAGCATTTTGACTAGGGCCCACTGAGTGAACAATAATGGCATTAATGGTGAGTTAATGGTAGGGTATAATTTTCTATGAATTTAAAAGTTAAGGGTCCATTTTGTACATTTTAAAAGTTTAAGGTCCAGGGTCCTTTCCGTACAATACTTTAGGGTCCAGAATACTCATTAACCCTTTAATATATCTACACATATCAATTTATATTTTTTTAAACAAGCATAAACAATAGGAAAAATTACATAGAAGTTCTGTAGGGTATACTTATTTATAAATAGGTCTAATGAAATTTAGAAACAACAATCAAATCCCTTAGAACCTAAATATAATTTGAATTTGGGTTAAAAAGATAATACCATCCCTATTAAAATTACTGAAGTTACAATTATAAAATATAAAAGTGTGAGTTGTAAATTACTTATGTATAGTAGTTGTAAATAATTAGTATTAAATTTTGTTCATAATACTTGATCTATTTAACTATTAGATATGTAAAGTTATTATCAAACTTTTAATGCATGATCAATTTATCTATGAGGTATATAAAATTACAATTGTAAAAAATTAAAACAATAGTTGTAAATTACTAATGAGATAGTTGTAAATTATTTGATTGATGTAATATATTTTTAGGGCCCACTTGTTTAAAATTTAAAAAAATGAGTGATTTTTAGGTAGTTTAGAGATTTTATAAAATGAATATATTATTTTATGTTTGGTTATAATAATAAAAAAATAATTATTAGTTAGTTGTTTTTAAATTATCTTTGTGTATCTCACATTTTTAAAACACTTTCTCTCATCTACCACATTAAATTATTTTTAAAAGCTACTCAAAGTAGTTTATTAAAATAATAAAAAATATGCCTTTTTTTTAGATTTTGATTATTTTCAAAGTTTAAACAAACATAATAAAAACTTATAAAATATATTTTTGAAAAAAAGTAATTCTTTCATGAAATATGCTCAAACAAATAAGCCCTTAATAAGGGCATTATTGTCTTTTCACTTTAAGTTCAAATTGTTCTTAGGTTCTAAGAGATTTGGTTGTAATTTTTAAATATTTTGGGATTAATTTAAAAATAAATTTGCTTCATAACACCTACGTAATTTTTCCTAAATAATATTACAAGATTGAAGTGGTCAAAAGCTAGCATCCATGCAGTCAAAACAATGGGGAATCGCACATTGGTTCTAGAAGACCATTTTTTTTTTTGGCCATTCTAGAAAATCAATTCAATGACAGTGAGGTGCTAATAATTTTGGCAAAATCACAATTAGTTTTTTAAAATATTGAATTAATGTTTTTTACTGTTTAAATTGATATCTGTAACTTACTTTTCAAAAATTTAAGTGCATATACCCCTCTAATCCTTTTTGTATATAAAGCACATCTAACTATCTTATCAGAATTAAGGAAATGTGGTTAAGTTATCAAAAAATATAATAAATTTTAATTTTATCATTATTCAAATGAAAAGTTTTTAAACTTGTATTACATTTTTTCCCTCAGTTAATAAATTTAAATAGGGATAATATTAAACAAATTAATACCCAATCCCTTTATATTAAAAATAATAATAATAAAACTTCTAGGAGGCGCTCTATAATAAGAATCATATTAATATTAATTTAGACACTTAAAAACCGTATTATTATTAATTTAGACACTTGCAAATATACGAATCTGAATTAGTTGCAAATCACAAGTAGCGATGTAATTAAGAGGCTTAAATACCTCACTTATAACCAACTAACGGCGCATATAATTTTATAAGTGTCTGAATTGATATTCATATTACTTTATTTTTAATAAAATCTCTTAACACCTGATTATATTCAAGTGATTTTTTGGAACCAATACATCATGCACCCTAAAAAAATTAAAAGAGATCCATCCAAACACACAATAATCAAAGTCAATATTTATTTCTTTATTTCCCAACAAGAGAAGTGCACACATACACTAGATATGCTGAGAACGGCGTCGTATTATTACATATAGTTCCTTATTTGGAGGTGGGAATAAGGAAACAAGCTGTGCGACGATCGACTAATAGCACATTCAAGGGCAAAAGACAATCTTATAGTTGGTTCCTGATCGGCAACTGTGAGTTTTAGTATTGTCAGCAGGGAAGAGGTAAGCAGCGGGACACCTAGCGGCGGCACACCGGAGGGAAGCACAGCCATTAGAGGTTGGACGGAACGCCATCGGAATATTGAAACCGTCGATCACAGAGATATCGTAGTAGTCCAAATTGTTGGCTTGGTTAAGGGAAAATTCTGCAAGCGTAGTTGGTTTCGCCCCAGAGAGTTTGCATTGGAGGACACCTCCACAACCACCGGTTCGGCAACTTCCACGACCCGACTTGTCGAAGTTGCAGTTAGTTCGACCCCATATACGACCGCTAGTTGTGCCGGCGGGCACGTTGAGGGACCATGTCTGGCCGGAATTCAACCGTCGGCCACCACCTGCTGGCAAGGCCGCCGGCCACACGGTGTAGGAGCATCGGTTTGTGATGTCGAACCTCGCAGCCTCTGTGAAAGTGAAGCTGAGAGCTAGAAGGAGGGAGAGCACAGAGAGGCTTTTGAGGATCTTCATTTTTGGAGCTATAAGAGATTATTTGTTGATTGCTTTGTGAAGAAGAGGGACTGCAACAATGGGTATATATAGGGTTCAGCTAGCATGTGGTGTTAAGTTTTTAAAATTTAAACGATGATGCCATGACGCGTATACGTTTATTAAAATATATAAGGGAGTTGAATATAGTTTTTCCGGTCTAAAATATAAGTACTTTCTTTTAATTAATTTTGGTTCAAAATATAAGCAACCTATTATATGTAAAAAAAATTCATTTTACCTTCTGTATTTATTAAACTAAATATTTATGTAAATGTATCTCTTACTCATCATAGAGTGTATTGGTAAATGGGATTATAAGTAAAAAAGAAAAATAATATTTCCTCCGTTAAAAAATGTAAGACATTTTTTGAAGACTTGGATATTAAAAAATGTAAGGCATTTTTAGTCTTTTGAGGTATAATCATTGCATTTTTTTTAAAAGTATCTATTGGAGAGTGAGATTTGGTTAAAAATACCTCATATTTTTTAACAAAGGGAGTATATATTTTTATGAGAATAAAGGCTGTATATGAATTTTTTTTAAATTGCTTATATTTTGAATAAGAGAAAATATATCATAAACTCGGGAGAATTCCATTGTGCCGGTCAAGTTACGTGTCAACATATAATAAAATATAAAAACTGGTTGGATATAATGGACAAGCTTTAACGCAAGGGTCATAAAATACTACTGCGTCCAAAACTTCAAATTGATTATATGCGTTAGAAAAAGATGGCTCACACGCTTTGCTGGTATTTGACTGAATCATTATTACATCATGATGTGTGTGTGTGTGTTTAATGCAGTCAATGAACGAACAGACCCACATGAAATAATTATTTTCATGTATTATCATATAATTAGAGATTCTATAAAAAAAATTAGGAAAAATACAATAAAATTCCTCTAAAATATATAAACGACAATTTGGTTCCTCGAAATGCCATAATTCCCCTGAAGTTCTTAGAGACTTTTTTGTCATTAATGAATTTATATAAATTACCAAATTATCCTTATTAAAAATAAATGATTCACAAATTTTGTTTAAATATTTATAACTTTTCTTTTTATATTCGCAATAATGTAACAATGTGTTAAATTTTTTATTTATTATTGCATTGTTGCGAATATAAGAAGGAAAGTTGTGAATATTTAAAAAAAACTTGTTAATCATCTATTTTTAACAAGGGCAATTTAATAATTTATATAAATTCATTAATGGTAGAAAAATCCATAGGGACTTCAAGGGAATTATGATTTATATAATTTCTACTAGACTCAACAAGCACCTTGCCACGCCACCAATATGGATCTGGAATATTTCAAGATTGTTGCTTGCGAGTCTTGGCTAGAGCGAGCTGGAATTCTAGATTCTTTTATTAAGATTTTGGCTCATTTAATTTGATTTCCATACTCTATATAAGGTAATTCTCAAACTCAATTTAAATAATGATTTTAGGTGTAAACACTAGGCTTTAGACTAGTGATGATGGTATTCATATCCAATAATTAGGATCTTGATATAAGGTGTATTCAATTAATTATAGATATTTTAGTTTCATAGTTATGACAATATCTTCATCCAAAAGAAAAAACCAGAGGTGATACAATTGAGATTTGCAATTGGAGCTAAGTCATAGGTAGTAACGAAACAAGACCCATATCGGTATATTGTCAGGTGAGTATGAATAGCAAGTGGCACCTTTTGTTTTCCTCCTTTGCTATGCTTTTAACACTTAATTACTTTTTTTTTTATCTAGTTCCTTTGGGAAGCAAATTCCAAATTGTTTTTTTTATCTCTTTTTGATACTTCTAGATCAAACATAGGAATTATTTGTGTCAAGCCTTTAACTTTGATTGTTATTTTATTTTATTTTAACAAATTATAGTTTCATAAATTTAGAGCTTTTGCACAATATTTGTGTGATGATTAGCATCCATGTTGATACTTCAATCAACGTGGTATGAATTTTTATAATTGTTCTTTCTTTCTTCTTATAATTAATTTCAACTATTATATTTTCTTTAATAAAACAATTAATTTATTTTCTATTATAAGAAACATTATGATTTTAATCATTTTTATTTTATTTGCACCTATTTGGTTATTGAATTAATCATACAACTATTGTATATATAGTACAAATATTTACAAGAATACTGTACTATGTAAATATGTTATTAGGTGAGACGATTATTTCTCACTATGAGTTATACGACATATAATATATGATATACTATATTGGGTGACAGTTGTTCCTCCCTATAGGTTATAAGGAGTAATATATGATATTTTGTATTGGCTGAGACAGTTATTTCTCCCCATAAATTATAACAAGAATGATATATTGTATTAGGTGAGATGATTATTCCTCACTGTTGTACATGGAGTGTATATTTATATTATATAATATGTCGGATGGCTGTTACCTGCCAAGATTAGTGTGTTAATTGAAGGAATGTTTTGATTGTATTTTTTATGTCTATTGCATGATTGTTATTTTGGTTAACTGGTGAAGATTGGGAAATTATGTTATCCTTCTCCAGAATTTGAAATGTGAATAATTGAACTTAGTGACAATAATTTATTTTAGTGTCCAATGAAAATCGTTTGCAAAAAACACTTGTACACCTTTGCTTACCTTCCATGTACTTTGTTATTCATGCCCTCACTGAATCAATGGTAGACTCACTCTTTTTTACATTTTCTTCCAGAAGTCGCCTTAAAGATTTGTGGTTATCTATCCTTTTATAAACAGATGGAGCATATTAGAAAGAGTTGAATAGTGTTGTAAGATTCTGTGATGTCATGACTACTATGGGTTGTTACAGTCAAGTGCCATGTTGAACATGAATTGGACTTGGATACTCCACGATGGTTATCCTTTCTTTGGCTTTTGTATCTTAAGAACTTTGAACCATAATTTTACTTGATTGAATAAACATTTGTCATTGTTGTTGGTTACTTTGTGTACATTTTGCATTCTTTGAAGGCTTAGCATTGGCTTAACCTGTGTGTTGGTCACGACTCAAATTGTGGGATGTGACAATTATGTTCACATATTAACAAGTAATTATCCATTGGAAGTGGAATCTTTATTTAGGATTGACATGTTCATCTTGGTTAATTTAATAAATTTACAATTTAAAGTTCAAATATTCATGTTATGCCCAAAAATGTCAGGTATAACCGACATGAGATTTGTAAACAAAACTCATATTCCATAAGTTTTAACTAAAAAAATTTCAAATTTTAAACCATAAACACATTTAGCATAGAAATATGATATGCATTTTTTTTTATATTTTTCATGCAAGTAAAAGTCATAATTTCCTATAGAAATTTTAGTGAAATCTCTCATAAAAGTGACACTTCCTGAAATTTCTCAACAACAAAGAACATCATTTCAAAGAAAGAAGTTCCGCTACTTACCAACAAATATACAATTTTATAAGAAAGACTAGGATCTTGCCTATAGCCTATGCGGAGCACCAAAGACCCAAATTATGAAAATAAAACAAAGTTAAAATTTACATCAAGCTAAGATTTATCTAGAATAATCTTCCACTCCATTTTAGCAATAAAATGCCTCAATGAACACCTCAAGATACAAGTTCAACTACACCATCCAAGGCCAAAAATATCTTTTCTAGTGAGTAATGTCCAAATTAAAATTAAAGAAAATAAAGAATTGAAATATAAATGGAGTAAGCATGAATTTAATTAAAATAGTCACTTAGAATAGCAGGAGTGCATAACCCAATTCATATAATTTCATTTCAACACTTAATCCAATCCAATAACATCTCCTTATGATGACAACACAACAATCAAATTTCACTTTCTAATTGCCAGGATTGTATCAAATAGGTAGTAAATGCATCACTCATTATAAAGAAATTCATACATGAAAATTAACTTGTTTAATAGGATTAGTTTAAAAATAGAAGTTTTAAAAAATTCTCTAGCAGGACTTTATTAGAATAAATAACAAGCGTGGATACAAAATCCACGAGGGTAAATAATTAATCAAGCATGGATGGAAGCCATGAAACAAGCGCAGGTATAAAACCATGAATAACAAGCATGGATACTAAGCTCACAAATAATAAGTGAGAGTGTGATGCTCATGAATACCAAGCCATCTAGAATTTATATAATTTTAAGAAATATTTTTATCACATACAAACACAGAGTAGGTGGAGAAAAAAATTTGAGCTTACCACCCACAAGCCAAACAATAGAGAAGAGGAAAATCACAGCTGTCACATCCACACCAAAACATTTCACAGACAGGGGAGGAAAAGAGATCTGGCAGCTCGACACGCGAAAACATGACACTTGAAGAGGAAGAACATGCATACTCAACGAAGCCCCAGCAGTAGTAAATGAACATGCTTGCAGTTGCAGACGGTAGACGGGAAAGATGAAGGACTGAATGAACGATTGAAGCTCTCTCTCTCTCTCCACCCCCCTCCCTCTCTGTTCTCTATGTAACATCCTCCCTCTCCAGGAAGTCATTTAGAATTATTTTTGTGGTTAAGAATAAGATAAGGAAATATTTAAGATAGTTTGGAACAATTTAAGCTTAGGGCAAAGTCGTAATATCTTAAAATTTGACTTAACTAATATTAAGGAGAAATTATTTCATGGTAATTTGAATTTACCATGTAATTATTTGAGTAAAGAAAATTTACTCAATCAATAATTAATGATATAAATTTTTTAAAAAAAATAAAATTTATACGGTTGATTGAGAGTAAATAAAAGGAGTATAACTTGTTTCTCTAATTAAAAAATTATATTTATTTAAATGTCATTTAAATTTTATTAGAACAAAATATAATTGAGATTAAATTTTTGGGCTTTTAAAAGAACCTCGATTAATAATAAATAAATTATACTGGAGGGTTAAAGTATAAAAAAATGGTATATATTAAAAAAATATGAAAATAAAAAGAGGAGAAAAGATAAAATAAGATTAAAAAAGTGAAAGGAAATATATAAAGAAAAGAATAGT